TATATTATAGTTAAAGAAAATAAACTCAGTAGAACATTGACTTAATACTAAATTACTTATTAAAATTATTAACCTTGCCAAACTGAATCAATTTTTAGGAATTATTTTTTAGATTTTTATGAATAAAAATTTCATTTTTTGTTACTCAGCTTTTATGATAATATATAAGTCGATGATTACCTACCTATATTAATAATCTTAATTATCTATTTGGATTAATTAAACTAATTTTATCAGGTTAAGTATACAATTTACTCAATAAATATTGATTCTAACTTTTCTTAATTCTTAAACTAATTTTCCTAAAAGTGCTTGAATATATTTCAGATTAAGTACTTTTTCTGCCTCTCAATACAATCAGTTCAAAAATTTTCATTTCTTCTTGAGTAGCAACTAAACTATGTCCAAAGAAGTTGTAATTAATAGTATGATATTTTCATTAAAATCTATTCATTAATTCATAAGCTAATACAATTAACAATTTAAAAATTGAATCTAAATTCTGTTTATTGAATATAAGCAAATATCTAATAAAATTAATTTTAAAATTTATATGTGGAATAATAAAAACAAAACCAAAAAAAAATTTATGATATATAAATTAATTATTAAACATAAATAAATGTGTGTTATTATGAGTATTTGTAGGCTAGAAGATATCCTAAACACATAATTAATGAATTTAAAAAATTTTATTTAATGCTCGATAAAAATCTACAATAGATAGTTAAATTGGAAGTATTTATGTCTTTACTATTATCAAAATTAGTAATTCTTCAAATATAATTAATGAAAAAATTGATTGTTATTAATAAATAATTGTTTCAAATTGCTTCACTTTTAGAATATAATTTATTTAAATTTATTCTATAAAATATATTATTTTTTTTGTAATTTTGTGGAATCATATTTTAAAAATCTTTATTACTTTGAAATCTTGTTATCGTTCTCCATATAATATTGATAATATTGAGAACCAATGAAGAGAACATTGAATGGAACTTGCTCATTTTATAAATTAATTTAATAATTATAAAATATGGATTCGAATACACAACTAATCCAAGTATGTACAAATGACGAGATCCTTATTAAGTGCAGTGATATGTATCTGAGTTCAGATGGGTTTTATCCACCTTTCATTAAATTAAAGTTCTTTTAACAAATATTCTTAGATCCTAATTATAAATAGAAAATATGATTTTTCATATCTTTCCAGTTTAATTTGATAATGATGAAATTTAGATAGCCAACCAATAGGAAATTATTCAATATTCATAAGATATTGTAATACGCTTAGATAAATCTAATAAATTTATATGTGTTATTGTGCATAATGAAAAATACATACTCTCCTTAACCAATGTAATTGATAGAACAACACTTTTCAGAATATAACCTTGTTATAAATCATAAATTTAAGTAATTGTTCTTTTATATTAAAGAATTCCAATATAGTGTCTTTTGATGATGATATATTTTTGATGTATTCTCCTGAAAATATTACATTATAAAATTTAGAATAAAAATCCGATTTATATGTAAATATTAATGAAAATATGCTATATACTTCTGATTTTAGTGTCTAAACTATTAAGTAGACAACATTCAAATTTAAAAAGTATTTCAAAGAAAGCTAACCTACTTCTTATTACTATGGAAATTTAATTAAAATCAAATAAATTGAAAAAGATTCCTATTTAGAGTTGACTACTTAAGAGAACATTTAATAAAATCCTCAGAACAATAATTTACATATGACTGATGTGTAGAGTCAATATTAACGCATTTTTTCTAAAAATAAAACAGTCTGCTGGAGATCTGGCGAAAGAAACTAATAATATATAGATTTATTAATTTATGATATATGGAGGTTGTACCATCCATAAAAGATCAATACATAGATCTAATAAGGAGATTAATTTTATTTATAAAATTTATCTGGCAATTTCTTTTTGAATGGAGATTAAATTTGTTAAAATTATTAAGATGCACAATTCTTCTCATTTATAGAAGAAGAATCTGTTAATAGTAGACTATTTTACATAATTTCCAATAATTAATATTTAAGTTATAAGTTTGTGAATGAAAATAATTTTAGATAAATTTAAGATAAATAATAAGTTGAATATAAAATTAAAAAATCAAAATTAGATTTAATTTAATTTGATCTTATTTCTAATGTAAATTTCATTCATTAAAATTGGTTAGACAATATAGTTTAATTAATTTATCAAATAAATTTAAAATATAAATTGCATTATGATGATATAAACTTATTTATTAGAAATTAATAAATAAGTAATGGAAAATTTGATGATCTATTTTTTTAATTACAATAATTGGAAATTGCATTAAATGATTTGACAATTTTTTGCATTGCAGATGAAGAAAAACCTAAAATAATTGATAAAAATGCAATATATTATTTAAAGATGAACTAATATAATTAGGATTTGTTAAGAAAAAAAGTTATAATTCAATCTCTTGTAGATTTTATTGAAATTGTGAAATGGCAGTATGAATATACTTTAATAATTGATGAAAATAAATTTGAATCTAATAATGATATACCTAGAGAAGATCAAAATTTTTAATTTTTATTTCAATTAAATACTATACTAAATAAGATTTTTCTTTTTTTTGAAGCTTTTAGTCACAACAATGATTATAATAGTTAAATGATATTTTTGGCTTATTTTAAATTAATATAATATTTAGGATATAATATTGGAGCATTTTATTGTTTAATTCGATTATTTGAAAACAATTAAAATTTGATTCCTATTGCAGGTATAATGCCTTTTATAGGTGAATCTCAAAAGGAATATGATTATTCCTTAATCAAAAGATCTACTAGAATCAATACCATATTAACCAAATAGCAAAATTAAATAAAATCTCAAACTTTAATCGATGAAGTTTTTGAAAGAGCAAATTATTGTCTTTAAATACTTAATAAAAGATTTTGGGGTAATATTATGAAGATATTAAGTGTTTTATGTTTATAAAATGATAGAGCATGTTTTAATAATTAAATAAATATAGGTAAGCATATAATTTAAGGCCCAAAAATTTTATTATAATTTGTAATTAAGGATAATAATTTACTTTATGTTTAAATAGATGAAAATTTATATGAATTAAATGAAATTTATGTTTAGAGTAGTAAAGATAATAAAGTTTATATGAAAAACATTATAGAATGTAAGAATTTCTTAGATTCTCAGTTAAATCTTATAGGATTACTTTGTTAGGAAAGGAATTATGAGAATATTTAATTTTATCGAACAAAATTACCATAAAAAACTTTAATAAATTATATAAGTTATTCTGAAAATGCTGAGTCATTAAGATGTAGGTTAATTATAATTTTAATGAATTTATATGTTGATTGTTATCCTTATCAACCTAAATAAAGTCCTAAACTAATATTCAACTTAAATAAATTATATGGTAGTCAAAAATAATCAAATGGATTTAATGCTGAATAGTCATCCTTAGAAATGTAAATACATTAAAAATAATCTTATCATAAATAATTAACAAGATAATTTACTATGAATGATACAAAAGCTATAGAGAAATTACTTACTATTACTTAAGAGTTAGTTAAACTAAATTTAATTTAATAAAATTAAATTAACCTTTCTCTCAGTGTATGTAAGATCTTACAAATGTTCTATAAATTATATACATTTAATTTACCATAAAATAAGGAATTTCATGAAAAATATTTTGATGTAAATTTGTTAATCTAAGCTTATACCTTATTGCCTAAATCATTAGAATAAAATTAACCTTTATAAGAATAAGTTTAATAATTTTAACAATTTTAAGAATAAAAGGAAATTTTTAATTAAATGTCGATCATATTAATTGAGTTTTTGCTATTGTATTTTCAATAAACTGAGACAAAAATTCTAATTTAAACTATTAAAGCATCTTAACAATCTGAAAACCTTGACTTTTCTTAATAATATAATTATTAACGTTTTGAAAAAATTAAAGAGAACACATTTCTTTTATTGAAACATAATCAGGCTTAAACTGAAACTTAATTAAAGGCTTTTACTTTAGTGGAATCTCTATATTAACCAAAAAGAAATATTATTAAACGCTTATAAAAATGTTTGTTTTTGGAAAACTAGGAAGAAGTTTCTCATTATTAATTTATAAAATAAATGATTTTATAATTAAAAGAATTAGAGAGTGCTGATGAAAAATAATAATTATATCAAAATTGTATTAAATCATTAATAAATTTGAATTAACTCTTAAAAAAATCAGATAATTTATTATTAGTATAAAAAATTTTGAGAATTTTAAACATAGATTATATCCTCTTAGATTTTCTAGAAAGTTATTAGTAAATTTGTTAATTGATTACTTAAAAAATTATAAAAAGTAATAATGATGACAGATATATTTTAGAAATTAATAATGAAGAGGAATAAATAATATAATTTTGTACATAATCATTTATTATTTTAAAATTTTAATGTTATGGAAATTAAAGCAATAAATTAAGAATTCTTAGTAAATTTAATCAATTTGATGATTTTTTAAAATGTATAGATATAGGATAATATGATTTACTTTAAGAAATTTATTCTGAATCATATGAAAATATTGAATCAGCAAGTAGTAGGATTATTTATTTGCTTCTAGATAATTTGAGTTTAGGATCTTTGAAAGTGTTGGAATCTTTGGTTATATAATAAAATATATCAAGTAGTAAGAATTTATTTGAAATTATATAACAATTACAAAATACAAAAAAATTTAAATAGTAAATGGGATTTTTAGATCATCCTCTTGAAAAGATACTTTCTTAAAATAAATTTTAAACATTTGAAAAGTAATTTTTAATAGGAAATCTTCCATACATATTTTAAATAAAAGGAATCTAATTTATATTATATCTACTCAAAAATTCTAATTCTTAAGGATGTAAAGTAATTGCTGATATTTTTCCTTTATAATAGATAATTAAATATTGTCTATAATTAAAGGATATATTTAAATCCTCATTTGAAGATTTAAATATAGCTATATTAAGTACTATTTTGAAGACATATTTAATGAAATTATTTAATATACTTTTAAAATATAAGGAAATCATCAAATATGATGATGAAATTTAATAAACTATTTTTTAATTCATAGAGAAGGAAATCAAGATTTTTGAAAGCAAAAAAATTGTTCTTGATTAATAAATGAAGTCAATAAATGATATTTAAAAAAAATATGATTATATCAATACTAATTTTAGTTTCAAAATAAAATAAAAAAGTTTGAAGCCTAATTAATAATTATTTTAATAAATTCAATCAGGATCAGAAAATGAAAGTGATAATGATAAAAAAGAAGAAGATTAAATATTAGATTGTTTAAAATAGATGGCATGCTATTAAATATAATTTAATTATGATTGCCTTTATTTTAATAATTATGCTATGTTATTATTAGATGTTTTTCTTAACTTAGCTTAATTAATACAAGAGTAAATAGAAAGTTTAGAAGAATCATAATAAAAATCTGGAATAAGAACATCTTAAACTTTGGCAAGATAAATGAGTTTATCTTAAGCTTTTGCAGAGAGTATCACAAATGATATGAGTTAAAGTGTAAAATTAAAACCTTTTAATAATTTGAAAATTAAAGTGGATTTATTTTTAAGATAAATAGAAGAGTATTTAAAACTAAATTTAACCAAATGGGAGATTATAGAAAATGGACATTTTTTAATTGAAAAATCATAATAATTAAAAATAATATTTTTAAGGAAACTGGAATTTTCTAATTGTAACATAGATTTAATAGAATAAAAGTAAAAAGATTAAGAAGTAGATTAATATTGTTCACCAATTTATTGTCATGATAATAGAATACATGAATTAATACTGTTAAAGAATAAATCTTAAAATATATTTATTGAAAAATAAATTAATAGTTTATTTGTTACTGAACATATATTGGCAATAGAAAATTTTGATATGTATTTGTAAATCTATAGATAATAATTATTTATAAATGAAGAGTTTGAAATCATAAGTGAAAATTTATCTAAAACTGTTGTGCCATTGATTAATTGTTTTTAATCTAGTATGAATAATTTGTATAAGAATTATAAGTTTATCAAGAAAATATTAAAATTTTTCTGGCATATGTTGGATTTACATACTTATATTAGAGAAGATTATATTTAGACAATTAAAATTTATGAATTGAATAAAAAGGGGAAGTATCATTCTAAAAGTGAACAGATACTTCAAATAAAAGCAATTAAAGATTTTTAAAATTTGCTAGTAAATTAAGGTTTTTTTGAAATCTTTTTATAATTTTGTAATTAATATGATAAAATAAAAATTGTATAATAGTCAGAATTGATTTCTTAAAATAAGAAAAAGAAGGAAAAGTTATTATATTAATTTATGTTAACTTCAATTAGATTAGTTCGAGGAATTGAATCTGCTAATTAGTTTGCTTAGTAAAAATTAATGTAGGAAATTTTGATAACAAAAAGTAATTAAATGTTAAAAATATTCTAAAATATTTTTGAAAAACATTAATAATTAGATGAAATTATGAAATAACGATTATTAATGTTGCATGATATAAATAGAGTTTATTTTGCATATGAATACAATGAAGTACATAGATTAGAATAAAAAAAGAATGCAATGAAATTAGGAATTTTGCAGGTGTAAATGAAATTACTTTAATTATTAGCTGAGGATCATTTTAGACCTTTTTAAGATTTTTTTAGAGAATAAATTGGATTTGCTTAAAACTATGATATAATTTAACATCTGATGAATATATTATTGAATTTTTTCAATTAAGAATCTTTTTATGCTTTAAGTTAAGATGATTACATTTTAGTTTTAAATTGTTTTGATTGTCTAAAAGAATATATTTAAGGACCATGTCCTCAAAATTAGGAAAAACTATGTTAACCATAATTTTTAAGATTGTGTGGTAAATTATTAGGATTTGATGATTCTTAAATTAAGTTTTTAAATCTTTATTAGAGATTCAGTAAAATTGATTTAAGTTAATTAAATTAAGAAAAAGATAGATCAAGATTATAAACTTTAGATTAAGCTAGAAAGTAAAACAATTCATTAGATAAGACAACTATATAATAATAGATTATTTAGTATTATATATAAGTACCTGTTTATTGTAAATAATTAGTAAGTTCATTTAGAAAAAGTAATTCTGTTAATTATAAGTTTTTTATGCTTTCTGAAATAAAATATAGATGTGCAACAACATTGGAATCATTAACTGATAATGAATAAAATGAATCAGATATTTTAAAAAGAATTTCAACGATTATAAATGAGTAAATCCTAATTAGGAATATTACAATATAATATGAGAAATATAAAATATTGCATGGTTCAGGTAAAAATTATACAAATTTGGTATTCTCTCATTTATTGGGTGAAGATTCAAAAATAATCGAATAGGAGAAGGAAAGAAAGAAAAATTAATAAAAAAGAAAGGTTGATATAAAGAATAGCAATAATTATTGGTATTAAGTAGAATAGGAAGTGACAATAGAGTTAGCAGTAAAAGATTTTTGGGATTCATTTATTATAGAGACAGGATTTTCTTTATTTAATCTTTTAGCTTAAGTATATTAGATGAAAGATTAAGATGTTTTGGAACGAATTTATGAATAAATAGATAATACGAAGAAATAGAAAAAGAGATATAAATCTATAGTATTTTATAATCTTTACAAAGCCATATTTTCAGCATCATAATTAAATAAGTAAATAAGTAATATAATATTAATAGAAATATTAAAGAGTTATAATAAAGTACATAATTAAGTGATAAAGTATTTAATCTATACAAATTAAAGAAAGCATCAGGAGAATAGGAAGCTTATTAAAAGAAACTAGGATATAGAGCTTTAAGATTTTTTGCAACTAGAACAGGATCAATTGAAATATTGTTATCTTCTAAATAGTTAAAAAAAGTTATGTTTCCACTTGTTCCACATTGTTTTGCTTTAAATAATGAAATTAAATAGAAGTTTGCTTCTGATATTGATCGATTGTCACAATAAAGAAAAGTGGAATCAGTTTTATCAAATTCATCTCATATAATTTAGAAATTAAAAACAGAGTATAAATTTCAATCTTTATATAAAAAGAATTTCATTATAAATTTATTGGCAAGTAATTAAAAACTTTGGAAATAAATAATATTTTTAGTAATTGTGTTAGAGAATCTAATGATATTATTTTCAAGTGATTCAAATTTAGAAAAATTATTTAAAGATATTTTATTTGGATTAACAATAACATAAATAATATTATAATTTTTATGTTTCTTTATCTTTATAGTGAAGAAGTTACCTTATTTAAGAATAAAATCATAAGAAATAATATTTGAGAGATAAATAAATAGAATTAGACAGAGAGAAATAAAATATAAATATTTGGATAATTCATAGAGTATAGTACTTTAAGAGGATTTTGTATTAGAAAAAACAGATTCTTTTTTACTAGAATAAAATAAATGGAGGAGACTCTATTATAATATAACGGATTCTTTAACGTTATATAAATGTATTTTATTAGATTATGAAATGATATATTTTTTAATATTTACAACTTTAGCATTTATTGGATTATATTTGAATATAGTATTAGCATTATTACTTTTGGATGTATTTTGGAGATTTCCAACATTGACATCAATCGTGAATGTAAATAATTATTAAATAAAATTAGGCAATATGGAGACCAAGTGGATCAATATTATTGGTGCTTTCATTGTATATAATAATGTAATATTATTATTCATTAATCGTTTATCAATTTTATGCTTATCAATATGCACCATATTGTTAAAATTTACTCTAATGTTTTTCATTCATATTAGATGTAACATTTAAGACAGATGGTGGATCTGTTGGTTATGTTTCATCCAGTGATGTATATGCTGATGAAAATTATAGATATAGTATTCTTAATTTTTGGGAATTCATCTATGTATTTGTTGTTATTAGTTTATTATACTCAATAATTACTGGTATCATTATAGATTCATTTGGTGTCTTAAGAGAGGAAGCAGAAGAATTAGATAATGATATAAAAGGATTCTGTTTAATTTGTGGAATTGATAAAAGTACTTTGGAAAAAAAGGCTAAACATAAAAAAGGATTTAGATTTCATGTTAAATATGAACATTGTGTTTGGAATTACATATTTTATATTTCTTATTTAGAAGATAAAAAGAAAGCAGATTAAAATGGTATTGAGAGTTATGTAGATTCAGATTTGAAAAAAGAAAGTATCAACTGGTTTCCAATCAATAAATCTCTTTCTATTCCTGATGAAGAAGAATAATAAGAAGTAAATATATATATATATTAAATCTATTAGGAACTATCTAATTTAAAATAAACAATAGATGATAGATTAATAGAAATTAGTAACAAAATTGATTAACTAAAAAAATGATGAGTTTTTTTCTTATCAAAGAAATAGACTCTAATTACAACATATATATATATTTATAATTAAATTACTGAAAGGTTAAGACTTCTTTACCTTTTAAACAATTCTGATTTATCTGATTTTTATTATATAATATTTTAGTTATGCAAATAATAAAAGATTGGCTCAAACCTATTTCTGATTATTTCATCAATGGTTTTTCTGATACTTTTCAATTATTACTAGATAATTTTCTTGGAGATTATCTAGAGGATCCAAAATAACTTAATATGAGTACTTTACTAAAAGGAGTAGAAATGCTTAAATTAAACAAGACATTTATCAATTAACTCCTAGGTTAAAGTCTTTTTAAACTTGAGGAGGCTTACATAGGTAATTATGAAACTTATATTAAAAGAATCTATCAAAGTTGCTAATTTAAAATTTTAGGCAAGTGGTGTTAAATTAGTATTTGCTCTTGTAAAGGAAATCGATAGAAATGAATTAAAAGAATATTTAGATAAAGCAGAAGAGGCAAAATAAAAGGAAATTTAAAAACTTGCTCAATTTGCATAGTTAAGAGAAGAAGTTTATAAACATCAAGAATTAGAAAAAAGTATAGATATGAATACATCAATGAATGTTCAAACAGGACTTATTCAATTTTTAGGTTTAGTAGATACTTTATTAAGTAATTCATCAATTACTATAAACAATATTAAAATTATTTTAATTGAAGAAGAAGGAAAATAATATGAATTTAATATACATCATACTAATATCAATTTTTAAAAGCAAAACTTAAAGTAATTTACAATTTTATTAATAGTAATTTGCTTTTTATAAGTTTTGGTATAGATAAGATTTCGTTATTATTGAAAAAGGAGTAAATAGCTTAAATAGAAAATGCATTGAAGCTAGAGATGGTTGTCGAAACTAAAAATAGTAGAGTAAATACAAAAGTAGATGGGAAAATTTCATCTTTAGATATAGTACTAAATTATAAATAATACTAAAATATATTATCAACAGTTTCTTAATGTTTAGCATTAACAGATGAATTAAATAAAATAATAATTGATTTAAAAGGAGAACAAGAAGTAGAATTTGATGATGATGAAGATGGTATATAAAAACTTGAAAAGACTGATACATCAATTCTCAATTCATAAACTGATTAAAAGAAAAAGAATACTCAAACAAAAATTATTCCTAATTTATCTTATATGGATACACTAAATATTAATTTATAGTAATCTTTAGCTTAACATCCAATACCTTAGGAATAAGAAAAATAATTGGTTGAATTTTCTTAGAGTATTTTTAATTCAACATTTGATTAATTGGATTTTGAAAAAAAAAGTTTAAAAAATTAAGCAGAAACATTTAAGTGTTAATTTGATGGTATTAGAATAGCTATTTCTGATAATTCTCAATAATTTCCAAAATTAAAAGGTAGATTCTTTTAGGATCTTGATAGTCATTATTTTATTGAAATAATAAAGATTCAAGGAAGTTATTAAAAAGATCATATTGAATTTTAAATAGAAAGTATAGGAGCACATAGAGTTAGAGCTGATTCTAATAATGGATATAATATAATGCAAAGTTAAGAATTATTTCGCAGTTGTTAAGAAAACCCTAAATTTTAATTCTATGTTACTCCTATGATAATGATGGGATTGGCAGAAAAAGGAAGAATTGAATAAGATTATGCTATATACATATTTGATAAATTATAAGAATAATGTGAAATTAATAAAGCAGTAGTATTATCAATTAAAATTTATCATGGAAAAAATAGAGAAAAGTTTTATATGGCAAATATTTAGTTTTCAGATTTTATTGCTTCCCTTAATCATGAATTTATTTTAAGTCTTTTATAAAATATACCTTCAAAAGAGGTTTAACAATTACCAGTTTAAGAAATTAAAAAACCTTGTTTATATGGATTTGAAATTAAAATTCCATATGTTAATTTAAATTATTTCATAAACAATAAACCTTTGTAATTTAGAGTTAAAGATATTAAACTTAAATAAAACCCAGTTAAAAAATTCCCACATAAATTAGGATCTTTAGAACCATTTGAAGGAATTCCTAAAAATGAAAATCCACTATAATTTATTTGCATTTCATTTTTCTCTATTTGGATTGAATTTTCTGGATAAAACATTGTTACTGTTGGTTAGAATGTAGTAGCTGATTTACAAATATTTCCATTAATTTACATAAGTTTTTAAGAAAAATAAGATATAAAAAAAGAAGTTAAATAAGAATTGAAAGATTCTCTATAGTTTAGACAATAAGTAAGTGAAACTCTTATTAGAGGATCACTTCCTTTAGTTGATATTCATATAACTTAAGATCTACTTTATTGGCTAATTTCATTATAAGATTATATTGATAAATAAACAAATTCTAAAAATAAATAAAAACCTTAACGTTAGTCCAAAGAAGAATCACTTACTTACTTTTAGTTATCTATAGAATCATCTGCTATAATTATATTAGATAATTAAAATAAAGATTTATTATAAATTGATTTAGAAAAGATATCTTTAATTTCTACTAAATAAACTATTTTACTCTTTTAAAATATAATAATTATTGATCACCAATGTCCTTTAGTAAAATATAATAGAAATTAAGTTTAATAAAAAATTAAAAAATATTCATCTACATAAATTATTTTGTATAGAGTATTCTCTAAATAAAAAAACACTTAAATTATTTCTGCTGCATCAAAAAAATTATATTCAAAACCAATGGAAATTGATTTAGATGATTGTATTTTTAAATTGTAAATTGGTAAAAAGATTAAAATTTAAATTCAGAATATTTGTATAAGAATTCCTGATTTCAAATTTACTACTTTTAAAAAGTTATATCCAATTATTAAGAACTTTTAAACAAATTCAGAAAAAAATTAACAATAAAATATTAAATAAATTTAATAAGAATAAGATATTTAAATTGAAATTCAAATTACAAAAAATTTATATCTAGATTTATTTCCAATTAATGAAGTTGAAGAATTATCAAGTTAAGGATTATAAACAATTAATGAGTTTTCAAATAGTAGAGCTTTAATACTAATTGAAGATTTAGTTTATAATAAAGTACTTCATTTATCAAAAGCAGTTCTTTATGTATGTAGATAAAATGGATTTGAATTTCAATGTCCAGTAATTCTTGAAGACTACTTTGATAAATTAAGTGCTTTTTAATTCAAAAAAGTTTTTTAGATTAAAAATGTTAAATTTTCTGAAAATAATTTAAGAATAGATTTAATTTAAGGAAATTTCAGATTTGACATAATTTAAACAATTATGGAAATAAATGAAGAATTATAACCATATATTCCTAAATCTTAGCCTATAGATGCCACAAAATAAGAATATTTTATTTCAAAAGATTTCTCAAAATTACTTATAGAAGGTGAAAAATTAGATAATTAAATAATGATAAATATAGGATAATTACTTATAAATTTAGAAGAAGGACATACATTTTATTAAATGCCACTTTATTTTGAAAATAATTGTGATTAAAATAAAAGATTTTAAGATGAACTCTAAGAGTATGTTTCTAATGCTGATATACTCTAACAAAGATTATTAGATACTGTTAGTTTAAATTTTACAAATATACATTTAATCATAGAAATATATGCCAAAGGATAGACAGGAATAAAATTTTATTCACATTTTGAAATTGAAGATAAAATTTAAGATTCTAAATTTAAACTTATCTTAAGTCCAGATAATGAATCTTTTGATAATGATTATAAAAGTGTTCCAATACAAATTGCATTAATCTTAGAAAATTAAACCTATACAGCATCTATTGCAATTGATCCTATGAGAATATGTCTCTCAGGGGCTTTTCTTTAATTTATTTTTAATTTTTAAAATAGTTATAGTTGGATTGAAAAAACAATTTATGAAGATTAAATATAAATTTTTAATTCAATTGAAAAAACATCATAAATTTGGTTAAAGAGTTTACAAGTTTATGAAACAAACTTTAATCTTTCATATGACTCATAAGGATTATAAATGGATGATTTATTGAAAGGATTATTAAAAATCAGTTCATTTTATGATTTACAGATACCAATTAAATATATGTTTGCAACTATTCGAGGAACTCCTGAAGATGTAATAAATTGTGTTATTGCATAATTATAAACAAGTTTAGGTTCTAAGTTAATGATTGCTGGAAAAGCTTTAACTAGTTTAGAAGCTTTTTCAACAGTTACTAATCTAGTAAAAGGAACTTTAAGTTTACTCCTTAAACCATTAGAAGAAGGTTTTTTTAAAGGAACTAAAAAAGGTGTTTAAGAATTTTCTAATTCATTAGTATTTGCCTTACTCAAAACATTAAAAGTTCCTTCATCTGTGATTATAGCAGGAGGTGAAACAGTAGGATTACAATCATTAACTTTACCATTTAGATTAGTTAATGAAAAAAGCAATTAAATTTTAGATAAAATTAACCCTTCCAACATACCAAAAAGATTCTTAAAAAGATACTGATACCTTAAGGAATTACCATCAATGATATTAAAATTTCTATTTCATTTAATATTATTTACAAAAACATATATTTTCCATAAATAAAATTATCAAATAATTATTCCCTTATTTATTATCTTATTGCTCTTCTTAAAATTTAATTAGATTATATTTTTTTTACGATTCCCAACTTCTTGCCTTTCATTTATTCTATCTATATTTTGATATTAATTTAGCAGTTCTTAAAAACTTAATCAAATAAATTAAATTTTATCTCATGTCATAATGTTATTAATCATGATAATATTTTTGAAGAAGATAGATATTTATTTTTAATTGAGTAGAAATTTTATTCTTCTGAACCTAAATTTAATTTCTTATTCTCTATAAAAGTTTGATATAATTTGAATTGAAAAATAAATCATTAATTTTAAATAAATTTACAATTAAATAAGATTTAAAGAAAATTTTTCATATTTTCACTTCATTCTATAAAAATTTTCCTAAATCTAATAGAATAATTAAAATTTAGATAAAATTATTTTATTTTTTTTTCAAATAATGATAGACATTCTAATATTATTACTAAATATTAATACTTTCTTCATTTTTAGTATTTTAAATAATCTATTGTCAATCAATAAAATAAAAAAGCATCTTTCTACTCACCTTCCATAAGAATAGATAATACTATTTGCATAATAGCAAACCAATCATTTAATAAATTAAATAAATCATAATGTAAAGCTTAATTTAACAAACTAATAATATTCATTATAAATAGCATATTTTAAAATAGAGAGCAAAAAAATTAAATAATACAATAATTGTAATAATATATATTTTAATTTATTTATCCAAAAGATGGAATTTGAGAAGTAAATTTATCAAACACATTCCTTATTTTTATCATTACGTTTAATCAAACTTTTTGTAAAATGCGGTTCATTCATATTCCCGACATTAAGTATTTTAGGATTTTGTGCTTTATTATTACTACACTTTNGAAAAAAGCAATTAAATTTTAGATAAAATTAACCCTTCCAACATACCAAAAAGATTCTTAAAAAGATACTGATACCTTAAGGAATTACCATCAATGATATTAAAATTTCTATTTCATTTAATATTATTTACAAAAACATATATTTTCCATAAATAAAATTATCAAATAATTATTCCCTTATTTATTATCTTATTGCTCTTCTTAAAATTTAATTAGATTATATTTTTTTTACGATTCCCAACTTCTTGCCTTTCATTTATTCTATCTATATTTTGATATTAATTTAGCAGTTCTTAAAAACTTAATCAAATAAATTAAATTTTATCTCATGTCATAATGTTATTAATCATGATAATATTTTTGAAGAAGATAGATATTTATTTTTAATTGAGTAGAAATTTTATTCTTCTGAACCTAAATTTAATTTCTTATTCTCTATAAAAGTTTGATATAATTTGAATTGAAAAATAAATCATTAATTTTAAATAAATTTACAATTAAATAAGATTTAAAGAAAATTTTTCATATTTTCACTTCATTCTATAAAAATTTTCCTAAATCTAATAGAATAATTAAAATTTAGATAAAATTATTTTATTTTTTTTTCAAATAATGATAGACATTCTAATATTATTACTAAATATTAATACTTTCTTCATTTTTAGTATTTTAAATAATCTATTGTCAATCAATAAAATAAAAAAGCATCTTTCTACTCACCTTCCATAAGAATAGATAATACTATTTGCATAATAGCAAACCAATCATTTAATAAATTAAATAAATCATAATGTAAAGCTTAATTTAACAAACTAATAATATTCATTATAAATAGCATATTTTAAAATAGAGAGCAAAAAAATTAAATAATACAATAATTGTAATAATATATATTTTAATTTATTTATCCAAAAGATGGAATTTGAGAAGTAAATTTATCAAACACATTCCTTATTTTTATCATTACGTTTAATCAAACTTTTTGTAAAATGCGGTTCATTCATATTCCCGACATTAAGTATTTTAGGATTTTGTGCTTTATTATTACTACACTTTAACCATTTTATGACTGAGTCTAAATTAGAGATTGACCTAAGTATTATAAGTGATTGATGTTAGAAAATTTTGATAGTGAAACTGTGTACATATTTTCGATTAAAAATTCTGATGATGAAAATCTCAATTAGTTCAAATATGCTTAATCATAGAGTCTATTTCAATTGTAAGATGAGTTTTTAGATCATTACAATTTTTCAAAAAAAAATATATTGATAGATGGAGATTCTTATTCAAGTGGATTGAATTCTATTTTAAAATATGCAACAAATATTGAGAATTTTTTCTTGATTGACCTCATCTATCATATGAACTAATCTACTATTTAGATTGTTAATATGTAAACTAATATTACATATATTTGGGAATAAGCTTATTTTGAAGGTTTATTTTTAAATTATAATAAGAGTATTATGCAGAAGCATTTTTAATTAGGATATATAATACAGTTTTTAGAATATGTAAATGCATTATTGGATTATTTTATTAATGTATAACAGCCTCTATTTATTTTAGAATGCTATTTATTTCTATGCCTGTTTTTATATTCATAATAGGTAATGTTTTGAAAAATAATAATTTTAGCAGGTTTAATATTTTGTAGAAATCATTAAGAATTAGAATTATTAGCTAGACATTATCCTTGGATTAATCATTATTTTAATATATTGACAAGAAATAATAAATTGACAAATCCCATTATAGACTCATTTTTGTACACTTTGTATATGTTTTTTTTGATATTGGAATTGTCTTATGCTGAAGTAAATTCACTATTATTTAAAAAGCATCACCCTTTTTATTTAATTAACAATATAACCTAGTATTTTAATAAAATATTTTAGATATGCATTTTCTTTTGAATATCTAAGCTTCTACTTTCTTAGAACAAGATCTTCTTTATATTTTGTACCAAAATATTGCTTTATAATCAGATTTTTTCTTTATTATTATATGTAATCTACTTTGTATGGACACTATGAATTGGTTTATCAAATTACTTTATTTGGTTAATTAGGAGTTTTTTGTTATTTTATTCATAAATTTGAAATACCAGCTTTAAGTTGGTCTGATCATTCACCTTACACACCAACAATTAATAGACCAAGAGCCTATTACTTACCTTTGTTTCTTATAAATTGGGTTAATGATGTACCTTCATTATGGACTATGTTTTATCCACTTCATGGAAGGAGGTAATTATAAAAAAAAAATTTTTAGATACTTTTAAATATAAAGTTTAGCTTTGGTAGATCAGAATTTCCCTTTATTGAACCATATTTTGTAATAAGAGATTTAATAAGACTTAGAAATTCAATAGGATTAAGAAATTCAAATCAATTTAAATCAATAATTTTAGCCTCCAGGAAACAATCCTTAAAATTAAATTATTGAATTATAATAATAGTAATAATAATAATAGTAATAAGAATAATAATCATAATAATAATAATCATAATAATAATAATAATAATAATAATAATAATAATAATAATAATTACTAAATTAAATTCAATAAGTTTAAAATGTACATTAGATGTAAGAAACTCAATAATTGAATTAGGAATAATATTTTATAAATGATATTGAATGAATATAATTAATTTAATTAATTTAATTAAAATGGATTTAGAATGTTTATTGTTCAGAGTCCATAAGTCACTACTATCTTTTTCGAAAACAAAGCCAATAGTTAGTATTTTATTCAAGGCTTCATTGATTGGAATATTTTTCTACTTCATTTATTTCATTGTGCTTAATTTAATTTAAATATCAAAACATTCATGCACGAATGAAATTGGTATTTTATTCTTCTAAAAGTAGAATTTATAAAAGATAATTAATTCAGAAATGAAACCATGTTCAAAATAATTATTTAGGATTAATAAAAGAATAACTAAACCTTCAGATATACAAACTAATCAGCTATTTACGGTTTGCCAGAAGATATTCTAATAAAGCACAATATAACAATAGAGTAATATATAATTGATAGAAAATGCTATGCAGAAAATTGGTTTGAAGATTTCATTTTAACTAAATCAAATATAGAAACACTATTTTTAAATGACTTAATTCATAAATTAAGGGATGTGAATGAATCTCATTATTTATTAGAAATAGAAAAGAATATAGTTTCAATCTGGGTAGATAAATAAGATCTAGAGTAAGAAACAAATCCAATTTCTGAGAAAATACTTAAGACTTTTGCTTTTACAATGAAATGCATAATCTATTTATTTTGTTAAACTTGTATAGCTAGTTTAATAATAAAAATACTTTAATTTGGAATACCAATTTTATTGAACGCAGGATGGTATAGATTGTATTAAAGAATATTGATTAATAATAATAAATAGTCTCATATGTTAAAGATTAGCTATCTATTATTATTTTTTGTATTTTTATAGGTATATTAATCTAGAACACTCTTAACTTATATCTATTACAATTAATCCACTATTCAATCCCAAAAGAATTTGTTATTGTAAATAAAAATAATTAAATTAGATTAATTTTATTTAATGAGATAATGAGTAATTTCTTCTTTAGAACAAGATCAACTCTATTATTTGCCCCTAAATATTTAGTTTCTTATTATATATTATTTTTCATTTACATGGAAGGCACAAGTATCATAATTCTTAATTATAATTAGACTTTGCATTTTATTATCATTTCGTAAATATTTTATGGCTACTGAGTTTTGCTACAGTTCTTGGTTTTTTACATTTCTATGAAATACCAGCTATATAAGAGTGGAATGAAGCTTCATTTTATACTCCAAAAATAACTAGACCTAGAACTTTATATTTTCCACTATCATAATTAGAATGGAAAGTAGATATTCCTTAAATATGGACTATGTTTTATCCTTTACATGGTAGAAAATATTTCAATGTTGAACATTTAGCATTAGTTGATGACAATTAAGATCTATTAAATAACTATTTATAATAGAATGCTGCAAATTGATAAAAATTTTTTGAGATTTTTTTATTTGTTTAAAACTAATTTAATTAATCGATATATTCAAATTTGATAATATTTTTCAAAACTTTTTTCTAGTTCTCTTCTTGAAGAATCTTTGAAATATGCTTTTTTATTTTGTTATAAAAAATCAACGAATTCGAAAACCTTCATATAATAAATATTATTACATTTTTCATTAATTTAGGCTTTAACTTATCATATGTATGATCAACATAATTATTTAATTGTAATTGATTCAAAAAGAAACATTAATAATTAATGGAAGCACAATAATTTTGATTTTCAAATTTGACTTAATAGTAATAATAGACATTTGTATCGATTTTCCCATAAAATTTATCTTATAAATAATGCATCCCATGTGAAATTTATTAGCCTTGTATCAAACATAATAATGTGAATATTAAAATTGGATTCATAAATATTATTGTTAAAGAAAAAGACAAATTGCTGATAATAATTCTTAAATATTCTAGAAACATTCTTATATAGAAAAAAGAAATAAGAAATGGAAATCTTAAACCATATTAATTTATTTAATTTCAATTCATTAATTCTTACATTTTTTTCATTATGGCTTCCATTTTTATTAAAGTTTAATCAACATTTAAGGAATCTTTGCATTTCATTGAACTTAAAAGTTCGACTACCAAATTTCTTCCTTTTTATTAATTTAATATATCAATTGAATTACAATATTCTCCTAATCTTTGTAAAACTGTCATTAAAAGTGTATTATCTGATAATTAAAGTGCTATATAATTTTAATTATTTTTACAATCTTGTAAAAAGTATTAATATTTTTAAGTTAAATTTTATATCTCATCTTTTTTAAGAGTAAGTTATTCTATAGATGAATCTAATTTTTCTAATTCTTTTTTTCTAAATTCTATTTATCTTTTTATAGTTTCTGGATCTCTTTTTTTAAATGAGCCAAATCTAGAATCACACGAATTTATGGATCTTTTGCTTTTTTTAGCAGATGTATGATTTTAACTAACAATACAATTAGCTATTAAAGAATCATTATGAAAAGAACATTCAATTTAATTTTAATTTTAAGGAATCTCTATCTAATCTAAATAATGGTCAATATAAAGAATTTCATGAAAAGCATTTAATTCTTTTTATTAAGAAAATATGGTTAAAACAAATTATAAATTTGGAAAGAATATTGTCAAAGTTGTTTCAAATTTTGATCTATAATTACTAATAAGTTAATATTAATATAAATATTACGATTCTATATTGTTTTATCGAATTCCTAGATATTGTAATTCTAAAAGAGGATTTGTCTTAAAAATTTTAAAAGCATTTAAATCATCAATCTGATTTTTATTTAAATTTAGTCTAATTTAATAACTTCATTTTACGTAATAAGTTTGGGTAAGTCTAAAAATGATTTGCCACATTTAATTATTTTATTTTCTGAAAGGTCTAACATCTATATAAAAACACATCAAAATAAATTATACTTCGATATTCTTTGCTGTTGAAAAAAATTAATCATTTATTTAAGAAATACCATTTTTTTTTAAAATCAATACTTTTAAGAGAAATAATCCAGATAATGTGTTTGTTTTTACAAAGTTTCCTAATTCATTATTTGATAAATCTAAAGCTTAAAGCTTTTTAAAATGCATAAAACTTAAAAGTTGCTGTGTTTTACAATTACAAGCAGTAAATGTCTTAAAATATTCTGGTTCTGTTATAAAATTCTTTAATTATAGTAAACTAAATTTTTACATCTATTTCTCCAGGTAGCTTAACAAATTCTCTTTTAGATAAATCCAACATTTTAATTTTATTATTTATAATATAAAAATATCTGTTAAAAATTTAAATTGAACATAAATCATATCTCAACAATCTTACAATAATTATCATTCTCACGTTTTCATCTTTTTCAACAAATAAAGCCTTAATCTTTTGTTAGGAATATAATAAAAATCTAAGGCGGATTATGTAATAGATATAATTTGTTAAATTTCATGCATTTAATAAGCATAAATAAAAAAATATTTATTTGATTATTTTTCATCATTATTTCTGTTAAATCATCCTCATGATGGATAATATAACAAAAAAAAATTGATTATTTCTCATCTTTTAGTATTTGCTCAATATTTTCTTTGTCATTATTATATTTAGAATTCTAAATAAATAATAATGTAAGATTTTTCTAAACCAGATTAAGAAGGAGTCTATCAACTCAATAAAGAAGTTAAATTAGTAAAGAGAGACTTAGTATTAAGAAATTTTTTAATAAAGATTCAAATTATTCTTAATTGTTAGGTAGGAGATTTTTTGTTACAGTAATTTATGAAGAATACATATTAGATGATCTTTTTTAAGGAAGAATTTTTTAAAATAATGCTTAAATGAATAATTTTTTAAATAGTTTGCTTGTAATTGAAGTTTTGAAATTTAATTCATAAGTTTGTAAAATAAATATGAAATTTTAGAGATTTAAGAGTAATCTATATACTCTTATATAGTTTTACTAATAGGATAAAATTATTTAGGAATGAAATTTCTACTTAGAAAAATAATTATTCCATCATCATCTAAATAATTAAAATCTTAAAAAAGATTCTTTATTATTCAATGACTTTAACTTTAAAGTTTATAAGAACAAAAAAAAGCTTTGTAGACCAGGCTATATATAATTTAAAAATTTAATCTTATCAAAAAATAATAAACATATCAAATTTTATGTTAAGAAGAAATTTTGTATATTTTATTTTATAATTGCTTAGTCTGAGAAAGAGTCAAATCAAGGTTTAATGAATAAAGAACAATAAGAAAATATTTCTGGTAGTTTAATAAATAATCTGTAGATGAATCAATGTATTATAATGATGACTTTGAGCATATTAGTGGCAATTATTATTAGACTGAACAAAATATTAGCACATAAGAATACTATTCCGAATATAAAAGTCGAAAATAAAAGTATTCTTTTTCTTCAATAAAGATCATATAAAAAATTTCAAAAGATTAGTAAAAAATGGAAAATATATAGGAGAAGACATTGATTCAATCATTTATCAATAAATATAATTACTAACTATTACTCAAAATGTTCATTAAGTTTTTTAATATCATTTAGCATATTTTTATTTATACCAAATGTTTGAATCAATTATACTACTTAAAAATTCATAATCTTGTTATGCTTTTTATACTTTAGATACACATGCAGTCCAATTCAAATTAGCTTTTTATTTGACGTTTAAATAATATATAAATCAATATCTCAGAAATTAGAAATATAGAATATCTAAAAATGTGACCAAGTATTATTATCATTCTAATCTAACTTTGCGAGCTACTTTGAAATGAAAGAAAATTCTTTTCAATAACATTCATTACATTATGAATTAAAATTTATTGAAGTTTCTGAAAATAAATACAATTTTATAATACTGTTGGAATAAAATCATAAATTACTTACCCATATTTTCTTCTCAATATAAATTTTAATACTTCTTTAATCACATCTTTACTAAATTAATCTTCAGTATTCTACAATTAAATAATTTATATTACTCAAACATAATAAATGATGATCTTGACTTATAAATATATTAGCGATTAATGTGTGAAGTTTTTTTTAAAACAAACTGTAATTAATCAGAAAGACCTTAAAGTTTTAATGCTTATTAGGTTAGAATTGATTTCTATATCTACATGATTGTTATTTAGTTTTTAATCATTTACTACATCTGATAATTGTTAATATAAATGGATCTCTCTCTTTCTTGTAGTTATTTAACTATTTTTATAAAAATTTTAATACTGAGTTGATGTCTTTAAGGCTATATTATAAAATAATAATCTATTTTCTTAATTCATCATCTATCTAAATATAAATGCTTCAAGATGATTCAGAATTCTAAGAAAATGAATTTCCACCATAATTAATAATATCGTCTTATCTATTTTTTAGTGTCATTCTACATCCTTAATTTTGTAAATATCTACTAAACTTAAACTTAAACTTAAAAACTTTAAATTCGATATATTTTTTATTAGATTTCTTAAATGAATCGTTTTTAAGACATTCAAACATATCATAAGATACTTTAAATTTACTAACTCCTAAAAATGATCTAATATTCACTTTTATTCTTGGAATTCAATCAGTACTTAATTGAGATTGATTTAAATGGCAATTAAGGTTGTAATTTTAGGAATTAAGTTAAAAAAAACTATTATTTACTATTAAGAAGATAGATTAAGAAGAGTTTCCTTTTAAAAATTATGGAATATAATAATAATAATATTAATAATAAGAACTAATTACTTTTTAAATAAAACATTTATGAAAACATAAAAATAAATAGATTCTACTAAAACTGAGCCTGCTTTTATTGGATAGCCAAGTAAAAAATTAATTAAATGAGAAAGTTAATTTGAAATAAAAGGAAGAAAAAACAAAAAGGATACAAACAAAATTGCCATCATTGCCATCATTGCCAAATTTACCTAAAAAAAACAAAGAATTTTATAATAAATGGTATATACCTTATGAATTAAGATATGTTTAAAAGCCTGATTTATAAAAAGATAATTTTGAAGGTATTATTAATATATATATGTTGAAGATGATTTGCACTTTTATAAGAATATTCATAGTATTAATGTATAATATAATCCATTTGATGATAAATTGCCTGAGGTGCTAATTAAAAATATAGGATATCGAGAGAGAACGGAAACAGTTAAGGATTTATTAAAAGGGCAAAGATAATTATTAGAATTTAAAAAGTAACTATCAGATAATAATATAAATAGATATTTAGAAAGAGATAATTAGAGAGTCCCAGAATTTATCAAATAATTATTAGATAGTGAATAAAACAATAAAAAATATAAACAGTTTAAATAGTTATCATGAAAATTATTTTGTTAATGAAAGATATATCTATGTTAATAAGCATGTTCCAAGAATTAGCGGAATCCAGTCTTTTTATATTCATTAATATGATACATAAATTTTTTTGTTTTACATAGATCAATATTATATTGATATCTGAAGTGTACATAGTTATAATTTCTAATAATATGATACATTATTAGAAAGAACGTATCATTATGTTGATTATTCTATTTTAAATTGAAACTTTTTCTTCAAATACATGAAAAAGCCATAGAGTCACAAATAACCAAATAGTTTTAAGATCACAATTAACAAGTATTATAGTAATACTATAAATGAGTAATAAATTTAAATAGGTATTTTATGAGAATATGTCTTTGATATATTTGATTAAAAATTGATTATAAGTAGCACAAAAGTATTTTTCAAATGATTAAGCTGAATTGATCATAAATATATGTTTAGGATTATTAGTTTGGATATCTATATTATCATAACTTGCCCAACATTCTTATAAGGCCCATAAAAATATAAATTTAAAGTAGATTTGAATAGTTGAAGTAATAAAGAAAGAAACACCAGAAAGTGTTGAAATTTGTTTATCCCATAACCATTCATTTTGTGAATGATTAGTTAATGCATAACATTATGTTAAGATTTAGAGAGTCAATAAGAAAAAGCCAATAATAATATATTTATGCTTTTTATTAACTTATTAATTAATCCTAATCTGAGTTTACCAATTTGTAAACTAAATTAAAGGTCCTGAATAATAAAGAGGTGGATAAAGAAGATAAGCAAAATATTCAACTAATTTAATTTCTTATACTTCGATATTGTAACTTGTCATTCGAAGCATATTCCAAAAATAGATATGTTGCCATGGTATTGGTGCTGCTTGATTAAATTCTTTACCATTTTTACCCCATATATTATTCAGACCATTGAATATATTAATTAAATAAACTATGATTAGATGTAAAATCCAATGTATTTTTAGAAATGAAGCTGACGATTTACATAATTTTACAAATATCAAATTTGCAAGCATCAATATAATATTTATAGCAAATCCAAATCTACTTAAATAACCTCCAAAAATTATTCCAGACAAAACATAAAATAACATTCTTTAATTCCTAAATAAATGTCTACAGACTTTTCATTAGGTATGATTTCTTACAAAAATAGCATAGCAAATATATTAATAGTGCTTAAACATATTAATAAAGTATTCTCCATTCAGGATCTAGAAAATCAATTGACCAACTTAGTAAAGGGAATTCCATCGTGCCAAAAAATTTGTTAGTACTTAAATATACTTAATATAATCAAGAACGCTTAATACCTATTGAATAAACAATGGCTATTGCAATATAGAAACACCATATAACGAAAACTACATATTCTTACTAATCATAATAATAATACCTTTAACCATCTCTAATTTGTTTTAAAATAATATATAATTTCACAGTAGTAAAAATACCTAATAAAATACTATTAAGTTTTATTATAATCATCAATTATCATCATCAACATCAGATTGTTCTTCATCATCTTCTTTAATCATAGGTTAACTAGTTCTTTCATCTATCAAAGTACTAGAAAAAATAAGTTCCAGTTGATTTTTTGATTCTTATAAATGTTTCTTCTTGCTTGCTGGTGGAGGATACATAGGATCAATTGTAATTCTGATAGTATTTTCAATCAAATGAGATATTAATCGAGCCAACAATGGACAACAAGTTTCCAAACATGGATTAGTATTAACTTCAATTAACCATGGTTTCATATCTTAATCTATCATAAAATCTAATCCAAATAACTCAAAAGAATAGAATAGTTTATTTGGATCTAAATGTTAGTAAGTAGCCTTCACTATATCAGTGCTAAGCTTTTTTAATTAATTTATAATTATTTAGAAATTATAATTATGTTGATCATTTAAATACTTTTGAAATTCATTGAATGAAATCTAAATTTAATGATTATTTATACTTTATTTCCTGTTTCAAATTTCCCATAATTTTAATTCTTTTTTTAAACTGCATCATTTGTAAGATGAGTGAACTTATCTTCAACATCATCCAAAGTAAATTCTTTACAACTTGTTCTTATATACCCTTCTTAATACCAATAAGCTTTAAATTAATTATTAATACTAGTCATCAACATATAACACCTGATATCAAACTTTCTTTTATTATATAGTAATGGTTTTTCTAAATACTTTTAAATAATGAATGTCTTTTTAGAATTATTTAAATGAATATTTGAAGAAACAATTTATTTTACCTTACTAATAGAATTGGCTACTTAAATGCCATTACCTCGATTTGATGATTCTCCTGGCTTAATTATCCACAAATTGACATTATTTGTTTGAGCATATTCTTCAAATTCTTAATATGCTGGATCACATGGTCCTTTTTAAATATGATATGTTAAAGGAATATATCTAAATGGATCTTCATTTATTGAAAGATAATAATTTTTCATATTGTAAAATAAAGCCTTTTTATTGCAAACTTAGAAATTACATTCTAAATGATTATGCACTCTAAGAATGCTACTTTAATTGAACAACTAAAATTCTGATTCCTAAATATTATATTTAATCTTATCATTGATAGACTTTTTTTATTGTTTTGTAAATAGCACATTTTCTAATTAATATTTTTTTATTGATTCAAACTCTTATTACTTACGTAATTGTGTCCAATACAAATTTAAATCTTCACTAGGCTAATCCATCAATATCCACCAGGGTCTTTATTTTAAACATTATCTAATCAAAGTCCCATTATTTCCTTTTGTTATAAATGCTTTATAAATTGTTCTTTCTGGAGGTACAACACTAATATTATTTGTGAATGCTATCAGAATTGATAAATCATTTATTTCTTAATTGTCCTTACTATTTTCATTTTTACAAGTTATTGTTTTCTTTATTGAAAATTACTTTTATGGAATTAACCTTACATTCTTTTTAATTTTTTCCTATGAATTAGAATCTGGAAGAGTTTCAACTAAGCTTTTTTTAATGGTTAATTTAGTTTCACTGGATTTTCGATTATGAATTTCTATTCTTGGAGGATAAGTTAACACTGTTGTTAATAATTATGGAGCACATTAAGAACATGTTTTGAATTACTGCTAATCTTATGATTATTTATTAATAAAATCAATGAATTACTAAAATCCTTTCATACGAAGAGAATTTAATTTTGGATGTTATTATTATCTTACTGATTACAATTAAGTAGAATCTGTACATTTAGTATTTCCTTTAATAAATAAGAATTCTATCCCAGGTTTTTGCATTTTCAAATAAAATTAATTGTAAATTAAAATGATTAATTATACTTTAATTTGTAGAATTAAAACTTATTTTATATTATTATGACCTCTTTATATTACCTAACTCTAATTATTTAGTGAATATCACATTTTTTATGTAACAAAATCTATTAATAGGAAATCAGAAAATACTTTCCCTCTGTAATTCTTACATTATATTCTAATATCTTATTTTCTTGAATATAAGTTATAAAAATAATTTAAACCTAAACATAATCTCTTAAATATCTATTCCACAATCAATTATTAATATTTTTAAATATGAATTTAAAGGCAAAATGAACTTATTTCGAAATTTAAATTTATTTTTAATAAAAAGTTTACTTACTTAAATCAATACTATATTTATTTTATTTATATCTTTATGTAGTTACAGAAAGATAATTATTAGGAGAAAAGTTAATATGAACATCATTTTAGAAATTTTAGTAATTTTTATTCTAATAGGATTAAATGAATTCTAATAACGATTAGTAATTTAAATTAGTAAAATAATAATAATTATTATAACATCTATGTCATCTATGTATTACATATTGTAAATTACTTATTAATATTTGACAGATTTATATCATTTATTCTTCATTTA